CGATGGACGTTCTAATGCCGACGTCAATGTTTTTTCCATTTTTTTTGTTGCTGCATGCATGTCCCATGCACGTACGGCTGTTTGAACATGAGCATGTTTTGTGTGTGTGTAGGCACTCCTAACAATATCAAGAGGAGGAGGCACTACCCTCCTGACATAAAAAGGTCGTGTAGTTTAGGAAAATTAGGGAAGATGATTTTAAACATCATTGGACGGACAATCGCAAGGGCTTTCTCATCCTTTTCTGCTTCAGCAACAACGTGTGCAGCAATACTAGCTTCTTTGGTGTCCTCGAATGAATCTAGAACACAGGTGTCCCCGAGCAGCGAGTCTGGAACGTACCGAATGCTGTCGGAGTTGGTGCCGTGATCATCACCGGCCGCTTCACTTTCGTCCATTATTGTGAGCGGATGAGCTCCACCAGTGTTGGACAGAGCTCCCGCATGGCGGAGCTCCACTTGCTGATGGAGACGGAGCACTCGCGCGCGGCCAAGCTCGGCCTGCGCTTGTCGTCGCATGCGGATGGTGCAGACACGGAGCACTCGAGCATGGCCGAGCTCCTTCTGTGCCCTCTGACGCATGCGCCAAGCAATGGCGAACTGCTGCCTTGCCTGCGCCGCAGCAACCTCTGCAGCCGCAGTCACCTTTGCCATCTTCGTCGCTGCACAAAAATGTTAGATTCTGCACTAGTCTCACAGAAGAAGATGCTGCTTACTCATGCAGCGAGAAGATGGCCACTAGAGAAAAGAGGATGCATCCAGAGAACTTATAGTGCTTGCCTTCGTATAGGAGTAGTACTACTAGTCTCGCTCGAGAGAACATGCATGCGCTGTGAGTGTAACGGCCAGCTGCATGCAGCGTGGGAGCCGAGGAGAAGGGCGACGCAAGTTAAATGCTGCATGCGCGCGTGAACTGCCGCCGAGCCGCCGCCGCCGCCGCCCTGTATTCCTGGACTTGAAAAAAAAGCAGTTATGCCCTGTATTCTGGACGGAGGGAGTAAAATACAATCAGTTAGCAACGTGATTATATTACATTTAAAATCAGGTAACGAAAAAAAGGCTTTCAAGCACTCACTGGCACATAATGCAATAACATGCTCGTTCAAGACCTGTATCTGTACTCTTGTCTACTCCCTTGCCTCCTTCCTTGTCCTCACCTCCTCTAACGTCCTCCGTCTCTCCAATCCCTATTTGTCAAGCCCAACATCGATCGGGTTACGAATACCACGCTGTCTAGCAAATTCACGCATCTTGTTTTTGTGATGTTTAATGAATAGGTTGACGTAGTCAGATCCATATCTCCTCTTCCATACAATTACTTGCCTCTCCTTCAGTTCATCCAAGAACTTAGCTTGATGATCATAACATTTCCACCTGCATTTCCTAGTGCTATGTTCAAACGAAAAATTATATCATATATGTCTTAGCAAAAGAAACAAAATACGATTTCATGTTTACCACAAAAATAATCAACCTGATCATAGTCAACCATATGGCCGCAATAATGGCCTATTCCAAGCTCCGAAGGGACTAGACCGTAGTTGGATTTAACACCACATTCACACTTGACTGGAGGTGCTTTGTAAATTAACCTTTCTTTCTTCTTTTCCTTTGCCTTTGGTGGCTCCGACCATTGATTCTTAGGACCGTAGAGTCACTCATTGAAATGACACTTCGCAAATCCATAACGTTACAAGAGAATATATTAGTACACGCACACATATAGAGATAAACATTTAAACAGATACATTTTCCACTTACTTCGTGTTTGTTTGGACACACAAACTCCAACGTATTCCTCGGGTTTATCATAGCTCGATCTCCGCATTCACACAGATGAGGTTCCTCGAGTCGTCCAACTGTGGCTAGGTGCTTATCCTTAGCCGTCATTGACGGAGGGTTAGGGGGTGGAACCTACCACTGGAAGTGCTCATGTGGATGTCTCCCTCTACACCAATTCGTCGAAAAAGAGGTACCTAAGGTTAAACTTTTCTGCACCGTCGATCCATTGAAAGAAAAGGCACCTCTCATGGTCCTACACAACAAGATTCCAACAAAATATTAGTTGCCTACTTACACAAATGAAGAAAAAAAGATAGTGGAAATAATTACTTACATTAAAACGACCGCATGTGTAGAAGCAACGCGTCGCTGTATCTGGATGTCTCGATTGAAACTCGTCACGGGAAACCACAGTCACAGTTAGGGACAGGGAGGTCAGGAGGGACGGGGGCATCTTTGCTAGACGCGTCGGGGTATAATTCTCGAGGACGACCCCATTTTCGTCAAAACTCCTCCCGATACATTTCTTGTATCTAACAAAACAGTTATAATTTAACAAACAAAAAAAAAAACATCACAAATTAATATCAATGAGAACCATTTGCATTACAACAAATAAAATATAACCTACACTTTGTTGCAAACTCTATGTTAGATGCAAACATGAAACTATATAAAAACTATACTTTGGTCAGTAAAAAATAAAATTTGGTACATCACTAGTGTGTCCATATATTTATTCACATATAAAAGTTGAGATGCAAACTCAAACAAGCAAAATATATGGTAATCATAATTCTAACTAACCAATTAACCTTAACATTAACAATCCTAATCATAATCCTTCAATCCAACGTTATAACGAACTCATATTTTTCTCCATACCCTACCTACTCATTCAAATCATTCGATCCACCGTGGAGGCTGAGGATGAGCTTCATTATCTTTACAAGGCCGAGGAGGAGCTTCGGAAAAGGTAGGGAGGGGAACGCCAAGGGAGGAAAATTCGGCGGCCGGCCGTGAGGGAGCCGGGAGGCAATGGCGCGGTGGTGCGGGCTGGGAGGCGCGCCGGCGGCGGCAGGGCGGCACGGAGGCGTCTACTGTGCCCTGGCGACTGAAATAGAGAGGGAGGGGCGGGACTGGGCCGCGGGTCTATATTAGGCTCTGCCGCGCCCTATGAGGTGGCGTGTCACTGCCGCGTCATGATGCGTGGCGCGTCACCGCCGTGCCCTGATCGGTGGCGCGGCAGAGTCGGCCACGTCACTGGTCAGCGGCCTGGTTGCGCCACGTGGGCAGCCTCGCCGCGTCCCCTGGCATGGCGCGGCAGTGTTAATTCGCCGCGCCGTGCGAATAGGCGTGGCCAAAAGTGTTAGATTTAATTTTTTTTAAATAGTGTTAGTTTTAAAATTAGTTTAAAAAACATGTTAAAAAAAAAAAAATCTCCCATGCCATCCCTACAGTGCAGGCTGCAGGGCGCAGGCTCCATTTTACTTTTTTTGGATGCCTCTCATCTTGGTACAGTTATAGCATCTGTTCATACACACGCATATTTACTCAACATACGCATACTACTCACACCACCCGTGTACAAACAAGTCAATAACTACACTCAGATTTAAAGGCTACGTCCTTCTTGAGATCACCGAAATCTTCAAATTTTGTAGGTCGTGACGGGCACATTACGATCCCATTGTGGCATCACGTATAAGAGGCAGACGTTTGGACCCGGTCCAAACAAAATTTATTTGGGGGCAAGCCCCGGTGAAAACACCAGAGTTGCGATCCAGGGATCGAACTCGGGCGGGCAGCTCTCACACCGGAGAAGCTAGTCACCGAGCTACGCGCTCCATTTCGCTTGCCCTCGCTGCTCTCTCACCCTGTCTTTCTCTGTCTCTCGCTCTCGTAGTAGGTTTGTGCAGTCTTCAATCTCCGGATGGACAGGGCAGGGCACTGGGCATGTTCGTCCGCCTCCTTCCTTGCTGAACCTTGCACCTGCGCCGCGCGTTCATGGCTGCAAATGGCCCTGCCTGGCGTGCCCGGCCGTACGTATATCCTGTATCCTCCTGCTCCTGCTTCTGTGCTGCTGCAGCATCATGCCATACACCAGTCGCCATGTGTGGCCGTGTGCACCTGATCATTTCGTGCATTTCCAATATAATTTACAGCCTCGATGGAAGGCTTCTTACATTTTCTAACCCCAGCGTGCACTTACGACGGGGAATGGGACCCAACAGAGCAGTGCATGTACTGGTATTATGCATACTAGTTACCGTGGGCTGAGCGGTTTTGTCCGCCACTGTTTTCTTCTCTGAATGAATGCTCTGTATGTAGTGTAGATTAAAAACATAGAAAAGCCTGTCAGATGAGGAAGCCTTCATCAGGAGTTGATTATGGATGCAGCAGCCAGCAGGCAGCAGCTGCTTCTTCTTCTCCGTGGACCATGCTGAGCGGAGCTGTTCGCTTGATCGTATCAGTCATGTTTATTAGTTATAATATAGTAATTTTTTTTTATAATAAAACAGCATCAGTCGACTTATAAGCCACAGAAACGATTAAGCGAATAGGATGCATGAGACTGAAACATACCATACGGCACACCTCGTCAGGCACCCCATTGATGAAGCAGCAAGTAGCTAGTAGTATCAGCGACGGGATATGGTGCCCATGCAGCTGCAGCAGCCTACAGCCTGCAGGCCAGGCCACCATGAGGGAAGAGCCTTTGGTGCTCTCGGCAGACAACCACTTCCACTTGGGATTATATTTTTTGGATATTGGAATAGTATCCCTCCAGTCCCGTCCAGGTTCCATTTTCACAAAATCTTTCTTTCTTATTCAAATTCATCACTGCAATGCATGCAGCAGTATTTCACAACCGACTGACTGTTCACCCTTTTACTTCCCACTTTAAATGACAACAGCCGCAGCACAGCACACACTCCACAAACAAGGAAAGAGGAGGAGGACAGGAGGAAAAACAAGGCGCAGCCATTGCTGCTCGCAGTCGCAGCACGGCACGGTACACTTCCGTCCGCAGCGCAGTGCAATCTATGCTCATAAATCGGGATCGCAGGAGGCCAAAGGACTGCGATTCGTTCTTCCTTCTTCTTCCGGGGCGCGCACTGGAGTTATGAGAAGGCAGCCTACGGTACACACGCTGCCCGTCGCCTCGGAACATCCTCTTCCTCCGGTCGGCCTGGCCGTCCGGCGTGCCCTGCTGCGTCAGCCGTCCGCCGCAATCAATCTTGCCTGGGACAGCCGGCTGGCGTAGGTGGTTACCAGCTGCCCCAGGCCTTCCAGGTACGGCAGCAGCGCCGGCCCCAGCTTCAGGTATGCGTCCACCACGCACACCATCGCAGCCTGCATGCAGCGCACAGCCGTGGGTGAAAATGAGCAACACATGTCATCATTTTCTTTTTTTGATTGAGGGGGCGAGCAAATGCAGATCTTTCCAGCAAATACAAGACGACTACTGCGACTACTTGGTATGTCAGTATGTGTGTGGTTCAGGTACAATGCTGCTGCAGGTAAAATGTAAAGCTACTGCAGGTCCTACCTGATGACGGCTCCTTGTTTCTTCTCTTCAGTCATGCAAATATGCTTAGGAAGCGGCATGCATAGCATGAATAGCATGGATGTGAGAGAGTAGTATCAGGATGCAGTCTGGTGCTTACATGCATGACCTCTATCTTGACTGGATCCGATCATCCGAATAAAGTTACCCCCATGCAGATGCAGGCATGCACTGAACTCTGTTCAGTAAAGAGGGATATGGCCCGGCTAACCGAAAGGAACAGACCAAACATGTGCGGAAGAAATGCTACTGAATTTTCTGGTTCTCTGAACACATTGAATCATGCTAGACAGCAAGGCATGATTATTACAGTTTTTATTGTGGCCACCGCAGTCCATAGGTCAGTAAGAGGCTTCTTGCCCATGGACCCTTGCATGAACAGATCAAGTCGACCATTTTGTACCAACCTTTTTAAGCCGATTGGTACTGCAAGTTTTAGATGCTGCTAGTGAATTTATGGTTTTCTTCACACATTGAACGCAGAGTTTTTATTTGATGATTTTCCTTGCTAACATAGTCCAATAACCGATCTTCTAGTGCAACCTGTACATTGTGTTGCCTAAATAATTGACCTCTAATAATTCCTAGTATTTTTTAGTCTTTTATTACCTGAAGTAATTTGGAGGAGATGAAAAATAAGAACAAATTTCCCGGGGAAAAAAGTGAGCGATCTTAGTGGTCTGGAATATGTAAATCAAAATCAAAGCGGGGCTGGATTAACCTTGCGGACATATGGATTGCGGTTTTCGAAAGCATCCAGAAGTGCAGGAAGAAACGTTGACAAATGAGCCATGAGGTTGTCCTCTGATAATCGGATCACAAGCTGAAACAAAGAAAGAATAATGAGTATCCAATTTGGGAAATACATGCTAGCTGTATGCCTCACCAAACTCATAACACGGGTCAAGGTAGGACAATGAGCTTTTCGAAATCGTGCATAGCACGTGCTTCGTTAAGGGGAGATAGATGTTTTAGTACATCTCGACCCAACGACGGCGAGGTACCGTGTTTTGTACGAGGAACCCACAACACAAATCATCGGCTTGAATGGTGCTGCCACTACTTTGTACTAACTAAGTAAACTTCCTTTTTGCGACAAGCAGATATATAGCGAGGTTAAACCCCTATGGCGCGAACAGCGGTGCAAGCGAACGGAATCCCACGCTGACCCACTCGGCTCCCTCCTGTTGTATCCCTTGCAGCACCTGTGCAACTGATGAAGGTGCTCCACCGAAGGTCCTCCGATTCCGCTCCTTCCAAGTCTCCCATGAGACAAGCTGCACCAAAGAATCAAATCCCTTTCTGAACCCTGATGATATCTCCCTCCTCGATGCCAGCCACCAGTTCATCAAATCAGCATCACCGTTTGGGCAGAGGAACTGGAACCCAACCCTTTGGAGCAGTCGATGCCACAACTCTCTGGTGAACACACAAGCAGCGAACAGATGATCAACCGTCCACGAATGAAGTTTTCCGTGATGCAGCCTGCCGTTGTTCTTGTCACTGGCCTTGTATATGAGGTTGAAGTCGCCGACAACGAGCCATGGCCCCTGACACGCGCTCGCCACGGCCCGCAGCTCCATCAGGAATTCCGGCTTGTCCTCCCTGTTCGCCGGCCCATAGACAGTGGTGAGCCACCACGGTTCGCCCATACTGTGCAACGGCTTGAGACGGATCGTGACCGAGAATCGCCGGACGCCTATATCAGACGCATCCCAAAGATCGCGACGCCACGCAACAACAGCGCCACCGGCCACGCCAGTAGCAGGGAGAAAGGAGTAGTCGAAGCCTTGGCCTACAGTTTCATTGTTCAAGCTTGCATCATACGCCGCAATCTTGGATTCTTGCAGGCAAACAACAGAAGCACGCTGTTGTGCTACTACATCACATACAGCAGTGCGACGCGCCCTGGAGTTCAGGCCCCGCATGTTCCACACAAGAAGATGGTTGTTACTCATATCGTTACTAGTTTGGCGACCTGCGTGCCGGCGAACATTACTGCATTGGCGGCGAGTACTCCCCGGCGTTGCCATGCAGCGGGAACAGCACCCTCATCGCGCTCCTTCTGGCGGACGGGGCAAGTTCCGTGAACGCCTGATGGAAGTCGGCGTCGACAGTCGCGTCCGGCGTCGTGTTGGCTGGCATCGGGCGGCCATTCCATTTATTTAGCAGCACCCGCTTCGCCTGTCTCTCAGGGTTTGGGTCGTGGAAACGAGCTGTACACATGCATGCGGCTAAATGCTAGTTGACTCCCAGTTCAAGCCATGAATATGTTAAAGCTAAAATTGAGGCTCATAGCACTAGTTTCCTAACTGGTTTGCAAACATGATAATCATAAAATTTACATAACGAAACTTGGTGTGCTGATTACCTTGCTCAAACTATTGATGCTTATAATAAGAATTTTCTCATCCTGGCTGGCCAACTGAGAAGCTATGGCCTACATGTTTAAATGAGAAATATAAGATTGCTTACAAAAAGGTAAACAACAGTAATAAAGGGGAAAAAACAGCAACAAGCCGTTCAAGTCCTCTATCCATGAGATTCAGTTCAAAAGGTATCGACAGCTATAACACTAACAAAAATGCAAAAACAAGCGTACCCCAAGGCATCTCAGTGGGTCAAATTGAGTGACCACAGTTGTCAAGCAGATATGGGCCTGATTTACAACCTGCAGCGACAGTGACATGAAGGCCTCAGATGCCAACTTTATGGTTGATTGGTTGCATCAGCAAATGCGAGCTGAACCAAGCACTGCAAGTGTATTACCTTCAAGGCACCGTCTTTGGTTGCATGCAGCAGTTTAGCTATAAGAAGTTCAACACAGTTCTCCATCGCCTTTCGCTGGATGGAAGGGGCAAGGCAAAAGGTCGTTATCATGGAAAATGGTATTCAATAATGGCACATGTTAGATGTAGGAAGCAAACAAGTAGTCACTGCTAACGAGTCTCAGAAAAGCTTACGTGCTTTTCAAGAATTTCAACCAACAGAGAAAGCGCAAGCTCTCTTGTGGGCACATCTGGATCATCAAGCATCTCAAGAAGGGAAGAAGACATCTGTTGTAAATTCTGAAAACGAGTGCAAGATGAGGTGATGTCCAGCAAAATAACCAGGGGAGGAGAAATACCCCTGAAACAAAAATGATATTGAGGTGATTACAACATATGAAAAAACAACAGCCCGTCAAAATAATCTAACCTTGGTGGGCACTGAGTGTCCATTCGTTTCAGAATCTTCTTCCAATTGACTCACTGCCTCCTGTTAATAGAAAATGAAAAATCCATTACCAAGCTTTGTAGAAGAAAGCTCATAAGACACTTACAGCATGTAACTGTTGCAGAAAGAGAACAAGCTGAATAGTAGTTATCAAACAAAACACCATCAGGTTAGTCAAATTTTTAGAGATCTGATGTATGTGCAAAGTGCTATGTTAAGAGAGAGAGAGATGACTGGGAAATTGCATCTAAAAAACAGACTGGGAAATGCTTACCTCATGATCCTGGCAGTCATTCCTCATCCTCGTAACTTTGTTTTTTCGGGTATTTATGTGCAGTTCACTATCATTTGGTTCATCAACTATCTTCGTACTCCGACTGTCCCTGCTTGCACTCTGAACTATGTTATCTGATATCACACTAAAGTCACTTCTTCTCGGGAGATCATTCCTTGACCTCACGGTACAAGACTTCTTGTCCATCATTTCAGTTTTGTGACCATAAGATTCATTAGATGATTCAAACTCAATCCTTTCAGTATGGTGCTCCGGGACTTCCAAAGATAAATTTGGGAGACACTGGAGTGCAGAACTGAAACAATCATCAGTCTTAACAGAACTAGATTGATATGCTGGACGCAGCGGTGATTTAGCAGATTGATATGAGGGACGCAGCGGTGACTTAGCATATTTATATGCGGAATGAAGTGGTGATTTAGCAGATCGAGGATGGAGTGGTGATTTAGAAGATCGATAAGCAGGATGCAGGGGTGATTTTGCAGATTGAGATGCAGGATGAAGTGGTGATTTAGCAGTGAAACCATCAAAAGATGCAGCCTTTTGCTTATGTCTCTTTTGTTGCAAGAACTCTTCCAAGTCACTTTCTATTGTAGGTATTAATTGCATCATTGCCCGTCTTAACCGCTTTTGTTCTTCCATTGACAAGGTGACCAAAAAGCTTAACATGGATTCAGGGTCATAATGAGAATAAATAGATGAGAAACCAACCACTGTAACCTCCTTCAGTTTTTTGTTTTTATCATTAAGCAAAAAGGCAAGCTTTCCCAACCATGGCTTAAGGAAACTGCTGCTAGAATAGCTTTCAGAATTGACTGTGCATTTTACAAAAGAGGCATTTGCAAACTCAAGAACTGCCAGTTTTGCCTTGGGAGATTTCTGCTCATCTAGCGAACGAAGTAAGGCGGGTAAAAGAGAATCAATGGGATAACTTTCATTTGCATGTTTCAAAATTGCCAAGCACCGCTGCTTGATTGATTCCTTTGGATCATTCAACTGAGAGAAAATACGGGGCAGTGTCTTGTCGAGATAATGTTCAAAAGGCTTCTTGAAAGCTGGCATGATCTCAGCTAGTGATGAGAGAGCGGCCTGTGCCACTTTGTGATGGGGATCATCCAGATATCGACAAACAAGTCTCATAACCTTCTCAAAATTTTGTGCAACTTCCTGAGTGCTTTTTGATCCACGTTCTAGCAAACACTGCCTTAAGAAACTGAATGCATATACCTTCATCATCCAATCTGATCTTGGGTTAGACCTAAAGAAAGTGCCTCTGTAAGAGATGAGGGCACATCCATGTTATTGACCATTTCTCCCAAAATGAGTTGCTTCTCATGTATATCACTTTTGGTACTGGCATAAAACCAATTTGTCATCTGCTTACCCAAGAGAGGTCGACGGAAGTTAGGGGTGTAACTGCCACGTGGCTCCTTAGAAACAGCACTCTTCTTATGAGTTCCTACTTTTCCACTTGATCCAGCATCAGAACTTACTTCAACAGGATTTTCCTTTAGCAGGTTCCCTGGACCTTTCGAGTTAACTGAAGGTGGCAGGCACGTCAATTCAGAAGGATCTTCTCGTCCTTGAACTTGCTGAGTTATCGGTTCAACATTCAGCCTGCATTCAGCCTTATCTTGAACAATTGTTACAACAGCTGCATCATTCAGTGACATTTCTGAAGGTGCTTCTGTTGCAATGGGAGTGGCAGTTGGCGGGTCACAAGCCGATAAATTGACACCTGCACTGTTGCCTGAATTTATGCAATAAATTGGTCAGCAGAGCCTAATATTTCCAGTTAAACAAATTAAAAAAACAAGTGTTTACAGGTAATGATAAAATTTGTTTTTTTTAATGACAGGTACCTGAATCATATTTCTCAGTATCTCTGTCTTTAGTTTCTACTTTTCTTAGTGTGATCTTATCCTCAAAAGAACTTCCAATAGTCAAAGTGTCATCCTTATTGCCTTCATCTGGGCCTTTTGAGGTTATATCATCACACTGGAGGTATAGTCTGTCTGATGGTTGCAGGTCTCCAGAAGAAAATGATGTCCCAGAATCGACCTTAACAACTTTATCTATTACAGCTGGAATGAAAGAACTAGGTTGAGGCTGCCTTAATTTAACTGGAGGAAGATGCCTTTGAGGTGTCTCAGCATCTTCATCATTTATCATCTACATAAAAAAATGTAGTCACATGATTAGATGATTAGTATGTCTAATAAATTTCCTCAACGCAAGATAAGTTTAAGGAAATACTTTCTGTCTGGATGGTTCAAAAGATGAGTACAGCTGATGTGAACGGTCAGGCCAAATCCTTGAGAACATCCTGTAGCATGCCCTTGCGCTTGATCGGACCTTGAAATTGGAAAAGAGCAGAATAAATCAGAGGACTTTTGACTTCCATAACGAAAAGACAAGAAGTTGAGGACTGCAACAACTATAGGTTCTTCACGGCATCTTTCAGTTGACCAAAAAAAGGACAAACTGACTAATGCACTGTTTTATTTTTTGAGGGGAACAAATGAACTAATTTTAGACAAGACTTCTCTCTTAAGACTTTAAGAGTGGTCAAAGATCTGCACCTTAGAAGAAACTATAACAGTCCAGGTTTTCCTTTTGCCCCACATAGAGCGTATATTGATAATAATTCAGGGGTACTCAGCCTTGATAATCAATGGGCTAGTCAACTTTATGTTTTAATTATGTTTCAAAAAGAAAAACTTTTATGTTTTAATGAATCTATGTGGTAATACCTAAAGAAAGTCTTTTAAAAGAAAACACTAAAATGTGCTCCAAATTTATAGGAGGAACAGATGACCGTGTGGAATCCCAATCAAACTTCTAACCAGCATTCCTCTCAGGAAATGACAAGAAATGGAGAATGAATGAATGACGCAATGTAAATACCTCACTAGTTGCATCTGCTATACAGCATTTTATAAGGTCTTCGTACAGGTCAGCTGATCTCTGTATTTCTGGAGTATCAACCCAGTACTCTAACATTAGTATTGCGTATTCGCAACACCTGCAATTGGGGAAAACCTTTTTAAGCTCCCATCAAGTATTATCTGTCACAATACCATATCAGTGCTTCTCATACCTGGCACGAAGAACAGCACTTTTATCATTCTTTGCAAATTCAATAATCCTTGGTAGTATACGAGCTACCTTGCAGTTCCTTAACATCTGTTCATAGAGAGCAAGAATCAAACAACATGAAATCAAAATGGCCAGAGCTAGCGCTTGAGCATGTATACCTCTTTTATACAGTTATCAGCAGACTCAGCAATTACAAGGATGGTGATCACGACATTCTTAAGAAGGACCTGTGGTTTTAAGTAAAAACAAGGTCGATTCAGATACATCAGACTGAGACCGATAGCTGTTACTGTTAGCAGTGGATGCATAGAGAAAGAAAGCAACACCATACCGGAATAAGCAGCTCTGCATATGGTTCAAAGTCGCGTAGTAACTCTTTCGATAGGAAATTTAGTAAATGGCATGCCTATTAGTATCCAAAATACACAAATGCATTTCAGCGAGTGCCCAAAAAGGACAAAATATGGCATGTTCTATTTAGTAGGATATTTGACAACCACACGTGATGTCTGTTTTCGGGTCAAACAAATCTAACAAGGCACTACCATCGCAATTTTGTTGATTTGCAGATCAGGTTACAGTACATGTAACTATGTAGGCAGAATTCTCTTTCCTAACAACGAAAGAAAGTTGTGTTGCAAACATAAAATGAAACTATGAGTGACTGAACCTGTTTTACAATGCTCGGTCTCCTATCCAGAAGCTGAGTTATTAGAGGGGTCACGAGCTGTTTTAGGAGCATGGGGAAGGCTGAATAGTCCGCAGCACCTGGCACAAAGATGAGATAGAAAAGGCCCTCAGGATAAATCCTACACTTCTTCAACTGAGAAATATAAATATTTATGTGTACAGTAAAACCAACATAAAAAAAGCATTCAGGAACCTCCAAGCACTAAACCCTCCACTCTTTGCATTGCAGTTATCCAGATTGACCACTCATTATCTGGCTGCAAAGTAGATACTGCTTTTTCTATCTCCCTTAGTAGGTCCTTCTCAGAGAAAACCTTTATAGGTTCGACTAATTTTCTTGTAATATCTCCTTCTCCTGCAACAAAAGGGGATGACAGATTATATCCCAATGATAAGGAACTGGTACGGTAAGATAGAAAAGCAACTACATAAGTGCACCAGTACCCTACATTTGGGGTACATGACCAGCAAATTCGCTCCATATTATATATTCAATAACGACATTAGGTTCGGCTATTGGAAGTATAATATGAGTATAATATTATACCATGGATTTACTAAAAAAAGATATGTGAGAATGAATTAATTTACTAATTTCTGACGTATGAATCCATACAAGGCTCTTGTTAGACAGAAATATATTAAAATATTTCACTCTTCTCTTTAATGAAATTAGATATTTCACACTCCATAGACCATAGCCTGAAAACCTGAACGCAAGCCCAATGTACCTGCAAGAAATGAGATGTCTCTTGTGCTGAGCTTGTCTTTGGAATTTTTTCTTGCTAGACTGGTATTAGAAGATTCCATTTCGATTGTCGTATAGTGAACGTGTCGGTCATCTGGCATGCAGGAATTTGGTTCTGTGTTTTCCGTTCTTGCATTCATCTCCTTCATCTGCAACATGAAACAAAACAGCGATTCTTATGGTTCTCCAAAATCACCGTGGACCGTCCATTTTGCTAGACATATTAAACACAACTTAATTCAATACTCACGGTAACAAATGTTTTCTGGAACTTATGACAAGTACCTCTATTATACTTCAGTCTTTTCTTTACTATATGAATATGACCAATAATAATCCTCTTTTGAGATTTGGAACATAAAGTAATTTTTTTAAAAAGTAGTTAAATCTTAATATAAGGACAGTGTGAGACGACACATGAAGATTTCTGAACCAAATAAATTGCGTGATGTGCTATTTATACACTGTACATAAATACTATCATCATAAATAATGGTCCACCGCAAATTCGTTTTATTTTCTAATCCTGGGTTATGGCAACTTCATAAAGTTTGTGCTGATTCAAAACAATTAATTTTATAGATAATGGAATTAAGGTTCCGGCTTCACAAAACCATTAATATTAACTGAAAACCCCACGGCTACAAACGTAAGTAACTAATAGCTACAGGAATCATTTCGGAGCACCAACACTAGTACGATCGACTCCAAGGAGCGAACAGAATCGATACCTCCATGAGCAGGAGGAGGTACCTCCTCGCGGCCTCCCGCACGGCCGCGTGTCCGTCGCCGAGGCGCGCGACGACCAGCGGCGCGAGCCCATCGGCATGGCGGCGCATCGAGCCCCCTACGCCTGCAGCGCAGAGCGCCTCGAGCGCCTCGCGCGCGGTCCCGGCATTGCCGCCGCCGCCAGGGCGGAGGAGGCCAGCGCAGCACTCGGCGAGCGCGGCCGCGCCGGCGTCGTCGAGCTCCAGCTCCTCCTCCGCCCCCGGCGCCGGCGCCAGCTCCCGCAGTCGCGCCACCGCGGCGGACATTGCCATCTCACCCGCCGGCGGGAGGGCCTTGTTGGGGGGTGTGGAGCGGAGGTGATCGAAGCGAGGGAGGGGAAGGGGAGGAAGCGAGGTACGGTGTGGCCGTGTGGGGGTTTGGAGGGCGGCGGTTTTATAGGCGCGCGTTTAGCGGTTTGGAAATGGCTTTATTTTGGCTAGGATTAGTTAGTTCGATGACTACCCGCTAACGCAACTTTGCAGTGGCAGGTCAAATTTAGACCCCGTCTAGAAGGATTTCTCATCGCATCACAAGGTAAAATGTTATTTTTCTCTTTCTCTTCTAAAAATGAACTCGGAGAGCCAAAAGAAATCCTACCACACGTGCTACAACTTGACATATATTGTTTTATGCTAGGCTAGAATTCTGTGTGAACTTACATATAAGCAAGTAGTGAACGAAGAAGGCTAATGATGATGTGTGTAGCAGTAGTTTATTTGCAGCTTTTACTAGCACTGTTCTCATCTGCTAGTAGGTAGTCTTTGTTAACTAGATTAGGTAATTAAGGTTATTAATCGACTACGAGTAGAATTCTTGTGTACAACTAGTTGGACAGCCATAATTGACACCGACGTATATACATTGTGCGGTCCAGATCAAATTGTTAAAATTATAGGAAACATGTCTATCCTTGAGTTTCCAGTGTATATGGTGGTTTTAACTATACATATGGTAGTTGCGTTGTTTCATGGGGAAAAAGACTTTTTTCCTTCCAAGTGGACTAGGTAGATATGCAAACGCCATTTTATCCATGTTGATTGTTGATTCACAAGCTCGTACTTGAATGGACATGCTCTATCATAAGAAATTGATTGTGTTTTTGGACCATCCAACATTCCAACTCTTACTCGAGTTTGCTTTTGGCTATACAGTTATAAACCAGAAATAAATACAAGTCGAATTTGGCCACCTAGCTGGCTTCAAATGTTGTTTTGTATTTTCTAAAAACTATGGATGTTGTATATATTTCCTAAAAAAATTCCATAACTAATTTATTTTCAATCAAAAAAATGAAACATGTACCAATATTTTTGAAAAAAAAAATGTGTCTATTGGTGCTGGATTTAGAGTTATTTGGATCTAATTTGTATTTGTTTCTAGTGTTTTATTGATCGTAGTAGTGCCCATTTGGTCATTGTTTGTTTAAATCACCACTTTGTGATATATTAAATATGGAGGTTGACCAAGAGAATTTATTCAAAATAGAGTAGCCAATATATTGAAGTTCAATTAATCGAATTATTTTTGGATGGCTAGTGATGTCATGCTATTACGATTGAAAAAAATAAGCTAAAAAGTACGGATTATAAGACAAGCGAACATGGCCTAGATATGATCCAAAGCAAAGCACATGTGAGGTTATGGATTCTTGGTCAATCTCAAGTATAACATAGCGCAAAGTGATGATTAAATAAGTAAAGAACATGACCATGAGCAATAAAGAAACTAACAATAGGAATAAATAAAATACTAATAACTTCAAGAACACCAATAGATAGATTAATATTTTAGGAAAAATCAGTACTGTTTTTTTTTTTTTCTAGTTTAGAATGAATTAGTTATGAACTTTTAGAAAAGAAAATTAGCTTTTATTGTTTTTTTATAATGTACAAAACCGCCTTTGAAACCATGTAGATGGCAAAGACAATGTCTGAAAATAGTTTTAAAGTTGTAATTTTGATGGATGAAACGGAATTATCCCTTAGCATTATTATGTATTACCGTTTTTTTTTAAGTCAAACTACTCTAACTTTAACAAAATTTACATACAAATAAATTTTACAGTTGATTTAATGGAACCAATTTAGATTGATATGTAGATATGATGTGTTTTTCTATAGGTGTGGTCAAAGTTAGAGAAAAGGCTGCTTACATTTTAGAACGGATGGAGCATACATTATTCTTATTCCACAACTTTATTCTCTTAATTAATCGACAGCTCTGGTGGACCAAATTAAATTCTTGCAAGCGACATCTTATATGCTGTAGCTTCATGCTATCACATAATAAACTAGCACACAAGCTGCTTTGATAATTACATGCATAAGGATCAACGCAATATAACGTGGATTAATTCAGTCCTGTGGTACCATGACCAGTGGTGTTGATTAGTACTATTTTAACTATTGATTATTCTCCTCCGTGTGTCTCTTTAAAAACGGTGGAAATATATATATATATATATATATATATATTATTGCGCGTCTATGGAGGTTTTGTCAAACTGTCCAATGGGAGGTTATCAAGTGGAATGACCGTTGATTAGTTAAGTTCCAGTGGTTTCATCAATTCAACTTCAGCTCCTAGCAGTTGTAGCGTCGCTGTTACTGTTAGCTACTAGCATACACTGTTCGTCTGTTCTTCTGGCACTGAACATACATGCCGGGTTTTCTCACGTAAACTTACTTATTATTATAATGAGTGAAATTTTATGGTGCTTGGAAAAAAGTAGAGCCATTTATTTAGATAGATCGGATGACTATTAAATAAGAAGAACCAATGTGAAGGAATTTAAGTTGTAGGCTGGAATTAGAAATATGTGGGTCCGAAAAAAAAAATATATAGGTCAGAAATTATTTACAAAATAAATTAAAAGGGTAGAATTGTACTTCCCGCCCCTTTCTCCTGTGCGAGCTTCTCCTTGACGCGAACCTGCATGCTCCTCCCGGCTCCCGGAGTACGCGTGCCTCGGCCTCTTGGACGAAGTTCCTCTCCTCCTGACCTCGCCGTGCGCCATCATGAGCCCGCGCAGCAGGTAAGGCTCGGGCCACGCAGAACGGCGTAAGGGACAGACACTGACATGTCACGTGATAAGCCGACCGGGGCGTGCACAGCACTGACATGTCGCGGCAAGCCAAACAGGGCGGGCGGTGCACAGAGCACAGCATGTCGCGTAAGCAAGCCGACGCCGAGGTCATCAAAACGCCGTCGCGGCATGAGCGCCAACGGAACAACGATGCATGCACTGCAGCTAGCTCGCTATATCAGCGCGTCGTGGCCGTGGTCTCGACATTCGATTGCCGCCGCCGCTTGGTCACCGCAACGTCCTTGGCCTTGTCGTTGCCGTGTATTTCGGTCTGCGCGCATCCGTGGTCGGAGGTAACGCGGTTGTTGCTCGCCCCAGCGTTTGGGCGTGGCGGAGCCTCGCCGCCACCGTCTGTCGTCTCATGGGCAACCGTGGCCATGGATTGGTTTTTTCGCTGCCGCGCTCGCACCTCTGCCCGCGAAACATCCCGGCCCGTCGGCGACAAAGACGAGTACGCCGTGGTGTCCCGCCTGCGCGCTGGCAGCGGCGAGTACCGCAGCTTGGGTGGGCACGGCGCACGCGCCCGCTTCTTGGTCTTTGGACACCGGCAGCGACGTGCAGGTGGCTGCAGTCTTGCCGCCGTGCCGCCGGCTACTCTGTATTTGTCGGGCGGGTGTTCGCCAGAGGATCGGTTGTGGCGGCGGGCCCAGTGGCGCGGCGTCATTGCATTGCCCTACAACAGCGCCGGCCCGCCTCCAGCCATCTCGATCGCACCGCTTCACCCTCGCGCACCCCAGCAATGGCAACGACCTCGTCTCTGGCCCTCTCCCTCTCCACCACCGTGAACTCCTCCACGCCCAGTCACAACCGTTCCTCCTGCGCCTCCACCAGCAGTTGTTAGTAAGAGACGTCTGTCTTGTACTCTAAGCGGCTGCGAGCCTAGGGCGAGGTGGGCGGCGACCCTAGGGAGATGCAGTAGTGAGGGCTATTAGATAATCTTCTACATCCCTTGTGTGAATGCACAGCAGGTGAAGGCGACGCCGTAAAGGGCTCCCTGCTGCGCACTGTAGCAGATGCAGGGGCAGGTGCCAAATGGCTCACCTGCCGCACTGTAGCCACAGTAGGGGCATGCGCCAAAGTCAGCCCTGCTGTCACATATAGTAACTGTTGCAGCACGACAGCTGTACTAGGACTAGATGGATAGAGTTGTATATATAGTTTGTCACTGTAACTCAGTAAAGAGAGTTCAGAGTTGCCATCTCCCATACAGAGCTCCGGCCAACGCTGGTGCTTGTACTATGTGTATGCGCTATGTTCTCTCCTCCCTTCTTCTACCTCTAGCCATAGTGTGTGGTCGAACAACGTTTGTCGTGCTCGGTCGTGGTCGGCAAGACTGATGAGTGGTTGACTCACCTGAGCCGGTGATCCTCTGGCCAACAAGTGGTATCAGAGCCATACAAGCGTCGTCGCCGGACTAACCGCTAGCGATGACGGATAGTTCGAAGATGGGAGACAGCACTGCTGTGGCTACCCAGCCACGACAGGAGATCATTGTTCGCACGGTGCGGGAGGTCAGCGGCACCAGTTGGCCGACGCTGATTCACACCAACTATGGAGAGTGGTCGATGACCATAAAGGTTAAGCTCAGAGCCTGACGGCTCTGGAATGCTGTTGACAAGGGCACTGACAATGAGGAAGATGACATATCAACGTTGGAGGCTATCCTCGCTGCTATACCGGCGGAGTATCAGGGAGCCGTTGGGGGCGAAGAGCTCTGCTAAGGAGGCGTGTGAGGCTATTGCAGTGATGCACGTCGGTTTCGATCCGTGTAAAGAAGGCGACGGCCCAACTTCTGAAGCAGGAGTACGCCAACATCAAGTTCAAGGATGGTGAAACGATGGAGGTTTCTCCCTCCACTGCAGACGCTCATCAGCAAGCTGAAGAGCCATGGCGTTCACCATCGACGAAGAGGATGCGGTCTCCAAGTACCTTCACTCCGTGCCGATAAAGTACATCTAGATCACTCTCTCCATAGAGACGATCGCTGGACCTATCCACCCTCACCATTGAAGATATGACAGGCCATCTATGGGCGGTGGACGAGCGCCTAGAACAGGCGATAGCAACGAATGACAACAGCACATTGCTGCTGACAGAGGAGGAGTGGGCTGCTTGGAGGAACTCCGGGGTAGCCTCCTCCAGCCGTGGTGGAAATGGCAAGAACCGCGGCAAGGCTTCTTCGGAGAA